ATTAAGATATTATAGTAGTGGTAGTTGATAGGAATAAGGCAACCAAGACCTGTATAAGGAGAGTGCAGTCTCTGCTACAACTGCCATAATCTCTCATGTACAGAAAGATGTTGTGGGGGTTGAGGTGCCATGTCTCCTGAAAATGACCAGAGGGTGAAGGGTAATGAGATGTTCTGACGTGTTACCCAGGGAGATAAGAAACAGAACAGGCAGGCGGCTGAGATCCTAGTTAAATACAGATAACAGGTTATTATTGTGGGGCTTAGAGAGAGAATTACTGCACACTTTTATAATGCCATTACTATTCAGCTCCTTTTCTGTACAGGAACACATAAATCTTTTAAGACTCATCCTATGAAACTACAGGCTGTGAACTTTGGTGATAATGAGCTTTAGTATGTTCTATGGGAAAGAGCAGTGGAAATTAAAGAGAATTTTTACATTAGGCTGTATATGAATTTTAAAGAATACATTTTTTTTATAAAACTGTATCCCTGCTACACAGTTTGCAACCGCCATGCAAAGGCACTTAAATACTTAATGAGAAAGGCAAATGACAGTACTACAATTTCGGAGACTGGGCTCAGGGAGCTCTATTGATTGGGTGTGCCATTGTGCCATTATGGGCCAGGGTGAGCAGACCTTTTTTCTACAACTTCTGTCTCTTAATGCACACACAGGAGAGTTCCCTTGCCATCTATTACAATACAATATTAAAGAGAAAGTACTTTTTTGTAATTCTTTTGTTTTTGTTATGTTTAGAATAACAATAAATGATATTTACATCTATAGCCAGCATGCAGTGCTCTTGACTCTTTGGCTGATCATCTTAAGAATGTTGTTTACTGAGGTCAATAGCCCATTCTCACATTTAGACCCAAAAATGAAAGATAAGAGTGAAAGTACTGACTCCCCCCCCCCCCCCCCCCTTCCTCCCGGTCTTCCCAGGGCATAGAGAGTTTCATTTCACAAAAAAATAATAATCTAAAGGCAAACAGCATGATTCTCGGTGTCATGGGTACACTCTGTATTAATGATTATTTATAAAATAAAAGTTTTACTTAAAATTTAACAAAACAAAATGGAAGATGTACAAAATTATAAAAACCTTTATATTTCACTTTTAAAATGTTTGAGGGTAATGATCTCTATTAAATAAAAGCAGGTGTGCAGACCTGGAAAGACAAATGCAGCTATCTAATCCATGAAATCCAAAATTAAATAAAGAAAAATATTAGAAGGTTTTAATGTACAGCACATATCTAAAACTATCAGTTTATCAGTGTGAATAAATCATAGGTCAACATATAGTAGCTTTCTTAAGAGGCAAGATTCTTTAAGTTCTGATTGAGAGCATTTAGAGATAACACTTTTTTAAATATCATTTTAATAAAATAAAGAGAAAACTGTGCAAAATAATTAATTTACAGAAAAAGCCATTACAAACATAAGCAATAAGTAAAAGTAAAATAAATGGGAAAAAAGTGAAAAGTACTCAACAAGGTTTTCCTGGTCTTTGGTTCCAGCAAAGTCTTAGCCTGATTAAGTCACTGACCCTCAGAATGACTCTTTGTTCATGTTTAATTGGATGGAATATTGAGAGCTGCAGCTGCCAATTCTAGCATCTTGCTGGCCCTTCTGGAAGATGTCATTGAACCCACCCCACCTAATCAAAAGGCTGAGTGTGGGGGGAGGAGGGCTAAAGTGTACATAACAATTAAGAAGACCCTCCTTCCTGGTCAGATTTCTAAATGCATCTGTATTTTCCAGTGGCCCCATTTTAAGTCCAACAACCGACATATTGTTGAAAAAAAAATGAAATTATCCTTTGAAAGAGACTAAACATGATATGCATTAAATGTACATACAGTATCTCTTATGTGAATAATTAGCCTCCTATACAGTATAGCCCAGTCAAGTTTGACCTTGAATTGTTTGATATTTTCATTATACATTTGTGTATTTGTGATTAGTATGTTAATAACAGATCAGGATTTATGTAATAGGACTGGTTTTGGACTTGTTTTGTTATATGAATAGAACACTGTCAGCTCACATGAATCCAGATTTCAAATTAGGATTGCTTCTGAATGGCTTTAAGATGGACAACAATTTATGAAAACACATGCATAGGAATGTTTTAAGAACTCTTTTATGATCATTTAAATTATTTTATGATAGCGATTAGCAATCTCTGGCTCTAGAGTTTCTAACCTATAGTTCTAGTCAGGATACATTGGAGCCTGTGGAGTGTTCTGCTAGAGGTCCTATGAGATGGTTATTTTAAGAGGGCCTAATCAGAAGCTGTCTGAAGCTTATTAATGTCCTAAGTCTGTTTATTGAGCTGAATCCTCTGCGCTTTTTGTTGTTAAGAGGGGATAATATGAAATGTGTCCGAAGATGACTAGAAAATCTGATGATATTTGTGACTGCATGGAGAATTGTAGAACAATAAGGACTCATGTACACTGCAGCTGCTAAACTGACGTTCAGGAGTTGAGCGTTTTTTTTTTCAGCAGCCCCTGAACTCTCCCTAATGTTTTCCTATGTGTCCATGTACACATCATCGTTTACAGGCAGTTGAGTTTACATTCATTTTCTTGAACGCACCAAAATTGCATGCAGGAGTAGATTTTACCGGCGTTTCAAATGCCAAACACTTGTAAACACATGTAAACGCTGTTAACTGCGTTTACAAGCGTTTGTGTTTAGACGCGTTTTGTGACAGGTCCATTTCCAGATGCTGTCCAGAGCCTTTTTTCTTCATCAAAAATGCATGCAAAGCACTTTCCATGTATTCAAATGGACCTAGTACACCAGCGCAGCCAGTTCCAGGTTTCGTGTGAAGGAAAAAAATGGTAGAACGTGCCGCATTATGCTCATGATGGGAGCCATAGTGAATACAACTAGCAAACAAAGTCATCTCAACACATTCTGCTCTCTCTGCTTCTGCTCCCTCTATTTCTCTCAAAATGTCTGAAATAGTTAATTATTTACTATTTTTCAGTGCATTCTGGGCATTTGGAAGGGTCTCCTGAGGTTATCTTTTAAAAACGCTTTAAAAATGCGCATAAATGCGGTATGCAAACGCAGCTAAACTGATTTTTAACCTATGTTTTCTAGCAGTCAGTTTCCACCGGTCAGAAGAGTTTTCCAAACGCCCCGTGTACATGAGCTTAAAGGTGTACGGTGTTCAGTATAACTTATGACTTAATTTGGGGTCATCTGACCTCATTATTGTCACACAGAGCTTTTAGCTTTTATTGTCCTTGAAGAAAGCACAAACATTATAACTTGCATGAATAGGTAGGTGTGTGTCCCACTGCGGCTGGTGGTCTGCACCTCCTATTAATATATCACTGCTACTCCTGCCAACCACTAGGAAGAGCCCTTGGCAGACAGCCTAATGCAGAGGGTGTTGACCATCTCAGAAGAGCGCCTTATAGTGACACTAAAGTGAATTCTTCAGAAGAACATCAACATTTAAACACAACCTGTGAGCCTGCAGCCCCCGTTAGGGAGAAGATACATATCTATTCAAGTGAACTGCTGAGTCGCATTTAGATTTTTTGTGCAGCTTCACAGCTAAAGGAAAAGCACTGAAATATCTCCAAAAATATCTCCTGCTCCTTCAATTTCTAAAGAACACATAGCTTTACAAAGTCTTTAGCAAAATGTGCCAGGATACATAAGAAATGAGAATATTATTTAGAAGCCCATTCACACTAATGCAATCTGTTGAGGTGCATTAATGAGCATTAAACCATGTGTTAACGCGTGTTGTGTCAAGGCAGCCTATTTATTATGAATGGGCTGCCAACACACCACAACAGGTGAAAAAATGTGCAGAACCTTTTTTCAAAAGACAGCACTCCACAAATGTTGGTATATGCATTATGGTGTGCTGAAGTGTGTTTTTTGCTTTACTTTACATTGTACTAGAGTGTCATCCACAATGAATTGCACCACAATGCACAGCACATAGAGCAGGTGCATTGTCATGCATTGGGGCATCATGCATTAATGTGTGCATTTTAACATGTGTGAATAAGCCCTAAAGGTTGAAGCTTGTAATAATTAAATACAGCCTTTTATCTTGCTTTCTTTTACTACAAAAGGGTGGCAAACCCTCTTTCCTGAATCTGACAACCTAAGGGTTGGTTCATACCAGTGGTTGCATTAGAACACAGCTGCTGGTGTGTGGTAAGATAACAGCAGTGCTGATGCGCCGATCACAGCAAATCGCACTGTTTTGTTTATTTACACAAACTTTATTAACCACTTGCCTTCCAGAGGATTTACCCCCCTTCCTGACCAGGCCATTTTTTGCTACACGGCGCTGCGTTACTTTAACGGATAATTGCGTGGTCGTGTAACGCTGCACCAAAATGAAATTTATGTCCTTTTTTCCCACAAATAGAGTTTTCTTTCAGTGGTATTTGATTGTGTCTTTGTTTTTTATTTTTTGCGCTATAATAAAAAAAAGACGAACAATTTTGAGAAAAAAACAATATTTTTGACTTTTTGCCATTAAACCTGTCCAGTAAAAAAATTTTAAAAAAAATCAAATTTTCATGATAAATTTAGGCCAAAATGTATTCTGCTACGTCTTTGCTAAAAAAAAAAATCACAATATGTGTAAATTAATTGGTTTATATGAAAGTTATAGCGTCTACAAATGGCGGTTTATATACTGGAATGTTTTTTTTTTTTTTTTTAATAATAGTAATGGCGGCAATCAGCGACTTATAGCGGGACTGTGGTGGGTATTCTGGCACTGGGGGGGAACTGACTAACTGTCACTCACATCCCCAGTGACACTAATACAGTGAGCAGTGCTTATAAAAAGCGCTGACATTGTACTAATGGCACTGGGCAGGAAGGGGTTAACATCTGTGGCGATCAAAGGGTTAACTGTGTGCTGTGTGTGTGCTTTGCTGTGTAAGCACACTGCTTTGTATGGCTCTGCTATGCAGAGCCATACAAAGCAATGTGCAGGAGCTGACAGGGGAGAGATTTGTATTGTTTACATACAGGTATCTCCCCTGTCGGTGATACACGGTGATCGCCGGGCACCGGGGTCAGGGGGGGGGAGGGAAATCACCAGCCAGGACCCAGTGATTAACAGGTGAGGCCGCCAGTGGCCAGTTCCCTATCCAGAAATGCAAAATCATGTATATATACTTGATTTTGCTCACCCCTGGTGCCCTGTAGCAGTATTTCTGCTATAGGGTGATGGGAAAATGGTTAATATGTCTCACAGTGACATTTTGTTAAGTTCAGCATGGTGTGAGGTGGTGGATTAGGTTACACTGAGCTTCAGTGGAATGAAGTACTGCATGCCTTTCTTTTTTTCAGCGCACACTACTTCAAGATGGTGGTTTGAACTGGCCAGGTAGGAGGCAAGGCATTCTGTCTTGTCTTGTGGTGGGACTGCACTGGAATAGCCACCCAACGCAGCCCTACCGCACTGGTGTGGCTAGGCCCTAAGTCATTTTGAGTCTATATCCTCCCCTGCAGTATATTATGATGACTGGAACCTGTTCTATTGCATATATACTGTATATATGGCCTCCAGTCAAACGACGCTAATGAGGGGTGCCGACCTCCAGGACAGTCATCCAAAGGTCATCAGAATCTGTGTGGTGCACACAAACTGCATTTCCAACAGCCCATAGTGGCCTCCATGACCAAGAAAGTTGTGTTAGGGGGCGTGGCTGAGGCTGTCTTCCACTTTCAGTAGACTATGGGCTGTCAGGAGTGCGGCGTCTTCGCACCACACATATTATGGTGACTGACTGTTGGAAATTCTATATATAATATAGCCCTACAGAACAGACAGTGCACAGTCCACATATGCTTTTCTTTCTGCTGTAATGCAAACAGGAAACCTTTTATTCAGAAAAAAAAGACACAGGGGTTGATTTACTAATGGCAAATAGACTGTTCACTTTGCAAAGTGCAGTTGCGTTCTGCAAGAGCAGTTGCTCCAGAGCTTAGTAAATGCGGCAAAGCTTCACTTTGTAAAGAATACCCAATCACGTGCAAGAAAAGTAAAACAAACAGCATTCTTTCTTGGACATGATTGGATTATGGAAGTCAGCAGATCATTTACTAAGCTCTGGAGGAACTGTTTGTAGAGTGCAACTGCACTTTCCCAAGTGCACAGTCTATTTGACTTTAATTGTCAAGAAGTGGCGAGTGAGTGACAAGATATATAAATTGCACCTCATCCCTGGAATTTGAAAATGTTGAACTAGATAGTGGGAGATTTTAAGGGTGCAAATTTACAATGATAAACAGATTTAAAAAGCACAATAAATTTTATTTAATCTTACAAAAAAAGGGAAAAGAGAATAAATAATTATAATACTGTAAAAACAAAAATTGAAGCTTGGCTGTATTGTTGCAGTAATTCCCTACATGTTTCGCCCAACAAGGGCTTCTTCAGGGGAGAGAGAGAAAAGCTTCAACCGCAATAGAGTTTACAATATATCAAGAAGAATATACATAAACAATGGAGTTATGACATACAACCACACAATGAACATAATAATCAAAAGTATAAAAGAACATGCCAGCTCACCCTAGATGTCAGGCTCACGGAGCTACTACTGCATATCAAAATGCACTATCAAAGAACTTAGTTGGCCTATGCGTCCATGCAATTGTAGAGGATATAATAGGGATCAAGTATCTATCTAAACATAGGTATAAATAAGCGCAAATGAATTAATTACATTTTTACCTATATGGGGAAAAAGGAGAATCAGGGGGAGAAAGAGCACCAGATGATGTCAAGTCATTGAAATAATTAAAAAATAAACAAATAAATGAAAAATTATTTTACCTGTAAATTATCACAGTTCAGGCAATAGAATTTGACTTTAGTAAATTAACCCCATAGAGTTTATCATAGATGCAGCTGCAAACTTATAAACACTGCCATGTACCTGTTGAAGAATATACCTCTCAGTCTTTGAGGAGAACGGGGGACATGCTCCCATTTGAAAGACAGCTGAGCTCCTAGACAAGTTGTGGACATATAACATCTAGGATTTATAAGATCCTAGTTGAATTGGAGGGAGCTGGGACATCATTGTTCTTGGAGGGTTGGGAAAGAGAATTGGGTATAAATATGAATGATCACCAGAAGAGGAAAATTTTTAAGTTAATGCACAGGGTGATGAACACGAATATAGTTGAGATAAATTATAAATGTTTATATAGATGGTATTGTACACCGAGTGTGGCACATAAACAGAGAGAAGTTTCACCCTTATGTTGGAGAGGATGTGGGGCAATAGGGACAATGGCTCATATATGGTGGGAATGCCCAAAAATCCAGTTATATTGGCAGGAGATAATTTATCATATACAGGAGATTTGGGAGATATTTATCCAGAAGGATACATGGGTATGTCTTTTCTATAGAACAGAGTTGTCGGTAAAACAATATAAAAACAGTTTATTTATCATCTGATTTAGTGCGGTAAAGGGTTTAATTCCTAGGTTTTGGAAGGCCCAGGATCCACCGACAATGAGGGATTGGATAGACAGAGTGGAATATGTTAGTAGAATGGAGGAACTTTGTTACATGGAGAAAGATGAAATGGAAAAGTTTAGAAAAATGTGGGGTAAATGGTATGAGTTTAGAACTTCAGAAAAATACTTAAAAATGAAAGGTCCCCTGATAGTAGTAGCAGAGAATTTAAATGGTTAAAGAGATCTATATATAATACTAGGTTAATAGGAGGGGAAAGAGAGGATAAGATGAGACTGGAGAGGGGTGTGTTGGGGTTTTTATGTATAATGTAAAAAGATTTATGATGGTTTTGTAAGGTATTTTTAATGTTTTACTAAAAGAAAATTTAATAAAATATATATTTCTAAAAAAACAAAAAAGAATATATCTCTGCTGAATACTGATGTAGTTGTTGCATAAAATACATGAACATTGCATTCCAACACTGGCATCACAGCTTATGCAAAGCAAACTCACAACAGCTGAGTTTTTTTTTTTCTCGGTTCCTGTCTAGCTATGACATGCCAAAGAGTTGACGTGGCCATGCTCAAGTGCCAAGATTTAAATCCCCGCACTGCATTTGGTAGAGTATGGGACCTAAAAAAGCATAAGATTTATTTCCAAAAAGGGTTCTAAATTGACAACAGGTCGTATTATTTGGCTGTTTAATTGCAAACAGTTCTTAGAGGAGTTCTCCTTCAAACCGACAATCCTACTGCTTTCCATTCGCCTCATTTTTGCACCTGTTTTGGACACATTTTGCAGCTGAGCGAATTTGATAAATAACTCCCTTGACGTTCATGGCTTGTTAACCGCTGCGCACATTTAAATACATCTCAATAAATTACCATAAAAAGATAAATAATAATAAAAAAATAAAAAATAAACACGCACAGCAAATTATCTGTCCTTCATTACAGCCAAACCTCGTCATCTTAACCTTATAAACATTAACAGCGGTTTTAATAAGTCCTTGCATCAGCAAAGGCAAAACAGAGCAGGCTAATAGGCTCTTTTTTGAAACATAAACATCAATATATATTTGAGAAGTCAGCTCAGCACTTTCCATATGGGTAGTAATTTTAAAATTAGCAGTTGCAGGGAGAGATAAGCACCCACAATGAATTAAGATGTAACCCTGCAGTTTTCCTTACAAGGGAAAAAAAAAAAAAAAGGTTAAAATAAACTTGTGTGATTGACTTAGAATTTTAAGCAGTTTTTCTTCAGTGTAATCAGGGCTGTACCAATGTCATTGCTCATTAAAAAGAAAGATTTTCATTCCAATCTTTGATTGAGTGTGTTTTTTTTTTCCTTTCTCATTTGCATTCTGCTTTCTACAGAGTAAGCATCTTGCCTTCACTAGTGATTAGATTCCCTCCCCCCCCCCCATCCAACAGCACCCGCCAACCGACGCACCACCACCACCACCCCTTCCCTTATCTGGCTATAAAGTCATACACTTGAAGGGGAGTCGTGATTTGCAGGCAGGCGGACCTCCTCCTTAAATGATTGAATGAGGATATTGACTAGAGTCCTAAGGCAAACAGGCCGATGGATGGACTCGGTTTGACAGGATGATGGAAAGAGGCCTTGGCTCCTACTTAGCTGCCCTTCTAATTGGCCTTTATGAATATTTAATGAAATCAAGATGAAATTCAATCAGAGCTTTTAACTGCTGAATCTTAAGGAAAGGGGCGAAAAAAAAAACCTCAGAGCATATTATTAGATTTCACTGTGTACATACCAAAGCGGCGTGCTGTGTCGTCTGCTTGTAGAGGCAGTGATACAGCCGCGTCTTGAAGAAATGATTAATAAAGGTTTTGCTTTTAGTAAATCGCGTGCTCAGGGATGGAGGGCGTTGTGATATCCATGAGCACAATAGCAAAATGCATGAAGTGTATTTTAACGAATACTAAAATCCAGTTTTCAGATATGCAGGGAATAGCCTTTGTTATCTCGCATTGTTAAGCTTTTTTTTAATATTACAAGCCATGTACATTCCTGATTTTGACCTGGTATCAGCCTTTTAGCCCCGGTTTACATATATGCGGCCGGCGGGCCGCGTTTTGCGCAGGCACAAGATTTATTTGAATGGACTCCCGTGCCCTGTGACACGCAGAGAGAAGTCCCAGCACTTCTTCCGAAAACGCAGCCCGCACAGGAACCTCGGTTCCCAGTATGGTTGCGTTTTCCAGTGCAGGCAGCGTGCCATTAGAATTAATGGCACCCGCCCGCGGGTCCGCATTTCTCTGTGTGGGTGATGCGACTACACCGATTTTCGTGTGGATCCGCAGTGACACCACCCACCCAGATGTGAACCTAGCCTAACAGACCCTGGCGTGTGAGGGGAAGAAGCAACACAGGGAGCCAATCAATTCATGTGTTGACAAGCAGCATCCTGATAGGAGGAGAGAACAGAGTAACAGAGAGAGGAGCTTATCTCTGTGCTACTTCTCCTGTCACTGTTCAGTTACAGGCTGGAGCAGCTCCAAGAAA